TTCGGTGTTTTAATGTCTGTACGATCGATGGTGACGTTCTGTTTTCAGTTCCTGGCACTGGTAATTTGTACCTCCCTCTTCTTCCCTCACTTTGTCTCTCCCTGCCTCCAAACAATATTTTTAAAAGTCTGTCAATTTTATTAGTCTCTTCGGAGAACAGGATTTTAGCTTCGTGGATTTTGCTTCATGTACGTTTGGTTTTCATTTCATTGAGTTGTGCCCTTATCTTTATTATCTCTGTCTACCTTCTTGGGGTTTAATTTACTGCTTTTCTAACTTCTTGAGAAGGAGTGGAAGCTGCAGCATCTCTTGCCCTAGTCTCAGAACACAACGTCACGTCAGCACGTTCCAGTGGTCATAGCACGAGGCCAGCCAGATCCAACGGTGGAGGAAATGGGCGCCACCTTTTCTGTTGTTGGTGGTGGTGAAATAACACACACCCTTTCAACAGTTTACACATGTACAACTCAGTGACGTTGATTATATTCTCTGAGTTGTGCAACCTTTCTCGCCCCCCTTTTCCAAATTATTCCTCCCCCATTAACATAACTCACTGCCCTCTAAGCTTCTCATCTAACCTTTGAGATGCCGTTGTCAATTTGATCACACTTAGATAGTTATTAAAAGAGCACAAGGCTCAAGACAGACGTACACATTTTCAACCCTCCACAGTCTGCCCTCTGGCCATGATCTGTTCCGTTCCCCCAGTGCGAAATTCACCTACCCCTCCAAGACACCTACAAGTCTCATCCGATTAGAGACAACATCAGGCTAGAAGTCTACCATCTTGTGATCATCTTGTGATCTGTGTCCAGCCTTCCATAGTATTTCCCTTACCACTTTCCCAGCCTCTGCCCAACAGTTGGTCCCAAAGCCAATGCCACATGTTTTAGGACTTTGACATGACAGTCCCCTACTTCAAAGTGCTAATTCCCTTATCTGTGGCTACATAATAAACCACACCTCAGTTAGTGGCTTGAACAAGCAACTGTTTTCTTTGCTCAAAATTCCACGGGCCAGGTTGAAATGGCGAATGTTCTGTTATATGTATTTCACCACAACAAAAAAACAAAAGAAGACATTTCTGAGGGTCAGCCATTTGGGTTTGGGTTAGCCATTTGGGTTTGGCTCAGCTGGGAGGTTGTTCTGCTGGTTTTGTTGGGTCACTTCTGCAGCTGCAGTCATCTGGCGGCTTCCTCAGGGCTGGATGGTCAAAGATGGCCTCACTCACAGGCCTGGCAGTCAGTGCTGGCTATTGGCTGTGGCACCTCAGTTCTCCAAGTGGCCTCTGCAGCCAGCTAGCTCAGGCTTGTTCACACGGCCACATGTGGCCAGGAATCGAACCCAAGTCTCCCGCAGGGAAGGCAAGAATTCTACCACTGAACCACCACTGTCCCCTTCTTAGCAGCTCCTTTTAGTTTTTTGCTTACTCGACACCCGTGCAGCTTAGGACTTGTCAGATGTTTCTAAGGGAAGTTGCATGGAGAAGGGCTCCGTTCTCTGTGGCTTCCTTTTCACCAGGATCTTGTCCCCTTGAGTCCTGGACGCCAGCGCACCGCTTCGTGTTGAGCGTCTATTCCCTGCACAGTGAATGGGCAGATGCTCGGGGACAAGTGCAGCCTCGAATGTGAGGCTCACCTCGGTTTGTTTCCCTTCCTCCTGAAGTCCTGGTCCTTCGAGTCTCTGTGCCTCTCTGAAGTCGACAAACAGCTGTTTTGTTGTCGTTGTTGTCACTGATGTTTTAACCAGCTGTTATAGGTGTTCTCAGCAGAAGATTTAGTCGGATACAAGAAATTGGGCTCATGAGAAGCCTCTGGCCCCAGCTTTCCTCGTCCCTCCCCTGGCTGTGGTCTTGAAGAGCTCGGTCCCTCACGGCTGCACTCTGCCTTGTTTCTGAAGGGCCTTGGCCCACGTGCGGCAGGGGGCATGGGGGAAGGGCCGGGGTGAGGGATGACCAGCACTGGTGGCCGCTCACACCCCCCTTTCCATGCAGGCTCCGGCAGCACCATCGGGTCACCATCAAGGTCATCCGACGCATGCAGTACTTTGTGGCCAAGAAGAAATTCCAGGTGAGTGCACACCATACCCCTGACCTCAGAAAGAGCCCTGGATAGGGCTTCTGTGGGGGACCAGTGGGGGCACTCCTGGGAGCCTCGAGTTTGCCCTTGTGGGATACAGAGGCTTACTGGCAAGAGCAAGGCTGGGGCTGCCTCCAACCTCACCAGCTGGCTCTATAGGCACCAGGTCCTGTCAGGCCGAGCTGTGGGTGAAGGAGGTGGGCTCCATCCCAGCCACCTGGGTCCCAGGTCCCCTGCTCAGGGCCCCAAAGGGGTGGAGGCTGCCAGCGAGGGCCCCGCCTGCCTGATGTGTGCCAGGTGGGATCCCCTGCACTTTGGGAGCCCAGCCCCTGGTGGGAGGATGCCTCCACCCGGCCACTGCACGGCCCCTCCGACCCTCTGCTGGACTGGGTGGGCGGTGGGGAGGGAGCACTGCCGGCCGTGCAGGGACAGAGGCCCAGAGGGTTTGGCCTCCACCCCTGGCCGCCCTGAGCAGAGCGGTGGTGAGAGTGCAGCCCCCGCTCCTGGCCAGGCTTGCAAGGCAGCACGGCTCTGCTCGGAGGGGCTGACCTGCGTCTCCACCCGTAGCAAGCGCGGAAGCCATACGACGTGCGAGACGTCATCGAGCAGTACTCACAGGGCCACCTCAACCTCATGGTGCGCATCAAAGAGCTGCAAAGAAGGTGGGCTGGGCAGGGGCGGGCGCGGGGCAGGACACGGGGTGGACACGGGGCGGGAACAGGGAAGGATGGGGGGCGTGGGCACGGGGGTAAGCTACAGCTAAGTAGGGATCAGGGGCACAGGCATGGGGCATGGGGTACAGAGTGTGTGGACAGTGGGTGGGGTGCACCAAGATGGGGACTGTGGACACGGGGTGCACCGGGGTGGGGTGTGGACACAGGTGGGTAGGGTACAGAGACATAGGACTGGAGGGTGTACGGTCATGGGGGGTGCACCACCACGGGGCAGGGGTGTACAGGCAGTGGGAAGGGGTGTGCTGGCACGGAGTGGGTGGCGGAGGGATACCTTCGAGCTTCTCTCCTCCCCCCACTCGAGGCCGGTTTATCCTCCCAAGCCCCCAGGGACAACTGCAGGGCGGGGCTGCCCCCTCAGGCTCCTATGTCTGGGAGACCCCAACCCACCCCCCTTTCTGCTCAGCCTGGCCCCCACCCCGCCCGCTGATGCCTCTGCCCCTTAAGCTGAGTCTGCCCTCCCGGGAGGAGGGCCTAGGGGCAGCCCCCTCATCTCCGAGCCCCCACCTGTCCCTGGGGGACACAAGTCTCCCGGGGTGAGGAACAGTGCTGTGTGCGCCAGCAGCTGAGCTCTCTGTTTCCCTCCCTGCAGGCTGGACCAGTCCATCGGGAAGCCCTCCCTGTTCATATCCGTCTCAGGTGCGTCTCCCACCCGCACCCGTGGAGTCCATCCTGGACTCTCCACCGCCTCCCTCACCCCTAGCAAGGGCCTCCAGGGGCCTCTGAAGTGCAGGACACAGAATGAAGCCAGAGAGTGGCGGCGACCGCAGCCTGGGCGCAAGGCTCAATCATACTTTACAGAAGAGGCCAAGTTTGAGAAAGAACCCACCGGGGTCCCTGAGATCAAGACCTGGGGTGGACACCGACCTGAGGGCACCTTTTGAGACTCCAGATCCTGGGTGGTGGTAGGGCCTACAGGTGGGCCTGGGGAGGTGGCTGGCCACAAGCAAAGGGGCATCACTGGGGCAGCAGGTGGTCGCCAGGGACGAGTGCCCAATTCTCCAGCTCTGAGGCCACTTCTTTTGTCCTCTAGACCTGGGGCTGTGAGTCACACCAGGGGAGGACAGGGCCAGGGCCCATTCCTTAGGGTTGCCCCAGCCCAGGTTCGAAGTGGTAGCTGCATGTCACAGCAGGGGCTAGTGCAGCAGGCATTCCCTGGGCTTTGGTGAGGCCAATGCTGCCCTGCGAGGAGGAATCATAGTGAAATTTGTAGAGCAGGTAGTGTACATCATCATAGGCGATCCCCTAGGCAGGGGGGTCCCTGTCCCTATCGGATGGGCCGTCAGAGGTCACGGAACTGGGAAGCGTGGAGCAGGGAGAGCACCAGGTCTGCAGCTGTCACAGCTTGCGCCCTGCCCACTCCACCCCACCACCTCCTAAAGTTCTCCATGCACACACAGTTTTAGAAGAGGCCCTCCTAGGTTCAGGCCTTCAGACTCGCAGCCACCTCATCACCTGTGCTTCCCCACCCCCACTGCCAGCACACAGGCCCCTGAGTTCAATGCTCTGCCCCACAGAAAAGAACAAAGACCGTGGCAACAACACAATCGGCGCCCGCCTGAACCGGGTGGAAGACAAGGTAGGTGTGAGAGTCTTGGCCTCAGTGGCTCTGGCGGGCAGCGGGGCATGGCTCCTGGTGATCACTGTTGTTGGGGCCCACACAGCGCCGCCCACAGCAGTGTCTCCCATTCCTGACTCTGTCCCGAGTGCGTGAGAGACCTGGTTGGTGCCTCCCTCCACCCCTCCCTTCCTTCCTCCCTTCCTTCCATGCTCAGCATGGCCCCCATGGCACCAGGCTCTCCCTGTGATGGGACAGGTCCACTCCCCACCTGGCTGGACCTGGGTCCCCATGGAAGGAAGGTGTGGGAGCCCAGACCCGTACCAGACCCCTGACAAATGCCCACACGCCCTCCCTGGAGGTGCTGAGAACCGCCTGGCACATGGAGGTGGGCAGTGCAGTGGTCTGCAGCCCCCAGCTTGTGCTCTCAGGGAGGTTAAGTGCTGGTGGTGTACAGGGCGTGCCAGGCTGCAGTGAAGTTGCGGGGGCTGGCCGGTGGCCGTCACCTCTCAAAGGCCTGTCTCTGCCGGCGTGGAATGTTAGGCCACAGGGGACAGGGGTGGAGGGAGCCAGGTCTGGACCCTGGCCACACCTTGTGCCCAGCAGTCCTGGACCTTTGCTCCGCACAGGCCCTGGCGCAGAGAGATTCTGAACCCGTGGGGCAGATTCGTGGGAAGAGGTAGGGGTCTTCCACAGGTTCTGGACCCGAACATGGCTGGGGGTCAGCTCAGGGGTGGACTGGGTGGGCTGTTCTGGCCCACCTCGGTCCCGGCAGGTGGGCCGTGTTTCGGCTGTTGCCCTGCTGGGAGCCAGATGGGATGCAGGCCCCACGGGAGCTTGGGCTGCCTGCTCACCCTCAGCTCCAGGGCCCTCCGCCCACACCAGCCAGGCCATAGGATGCCCACCACCAGCCTCCCCTCTCAGGAACCCCTTCCCGGCATCTACCCAGGAGCCATGGGGAGGCCTGGGGCCCGGGAGGCCCTTTCTCAGGCCCACTGGGCGCTGCTGCCTTTGAAGTCTCTGTGGTCTGGAGCGGGTGTTATCTCGCCAAACAGCGAGTCTGTCTACACGGTTTATCTGGAAGTATCCAAGAGGCTAAAAATAGAGGAATTCGGCTGGGCCCCGGAGTGCGGCTGCCCTCGGTTGCCTGGGCAACGCCTGGCTCTGGCCCACGTCCACCCTTGCCGCTGCTGGGTGGGCGGGGAGCGGGGCGGTGCACGCACGGCTGCTCCTGGGACAGCCAGCTCCAAGGCCCACCCACCCCACCCTGGGTCCCAGGACTACAGTGTCGCCCCCTTCCTCCTGGCAAAATCCGCCCTAGCCTGGGGCAGCGGTGGGGCCACAAGATCAGGGCCCAGGGTCCAGCAGGGAGGGGCCCATGTCCAGGTGCCCACTGGGCCCTTGCTGTGTGACCTCAGCCCCTGAGCGCCCCCCCGGGCCTGGCCTCGCTCCGTCCATCAGCACAGAGCTGGCACGCACCCTCGGCCGGGTAGTGTGTTCTCTAGGAACCGTCGCCCCCGGCCAGGTGGGATCTGAGACCCAGGATTGCTCTCCGGGCCGTGGGCTCAGCACTTCAGGCTCGGGACTGGGTTTCCCTCTTCTTGCTTGGGGCTCACGTACCCCAAGAAGCCCAGCAGGACGGGTGCCCTGTGCGGATGGTATGGCCAGGCATTCCAGCGTCAAAGGCAGTAGACACAGAGCTGGGAACCGCACCACAGTCCTCAACTCAGTCTCCCCATCCAGCCCCGTGAACACCCTGGCAAGGCAGCCTCTGCTGACGGGCCTCCCCTGGGAGCCGGGAACACAACAGCCTTTCCTGACCTTCGTGGGCCAGGCACCTGGGTGTGTGAGCCTTCTACCCCACCCCAGCCCTGCCGTTTCCAGATGAGCCGCCCTGGGCCCAGCCTTCTCCCCTCCGCCCTCCACCCTGTCCCTGGCCTGGCTACGGCTCTGCCCGAGGTACCACAGGACAGGCTCCCCTGTAAGCCCAGGTTGGAGCTGGTGTTCTTTGGTGTCGGCAGCAGGTGGGAGACAGAGCGCCTCCCAGGCTCGAGGTGCAGACATGGGAGGCCCACTGGGAGTCTTTGGTTAGCCATGGCCAGTGGGCCGGCCTGGCGGCCAGCGCTGGCCTTAGGAGGCACAGAGCTATGGGTCAGAGCTGAGCAACAAAGGGGGCCGTTTCTGGGGTCCCTGATGCCTGGGGCAAGGTTGGGAAGCACTGCGGGGGCACACCGTGAGCCCCGATCAGGGCCTGGGAGAGGGCCGTTCCTGGGCTGTGAGGACACAGACCCACCGCTGACTGATCCTGGGCAGTCTCCCTATGCCGCTGCTGAGGAGCTGGCCAGGCCCTGCCTGGGTCTCAGCCCCACCTGGCCCTTGGCTGGTCCGCAAGGGCTTGATGGGACTTGAGCTCCCGGAGTGAGGCTCAGCTGGAGAGGGGCTGGCCTGGGCAGCTCAGTGGTTGACTTCCCACTGCTGGCCGACGCCTCCCTTGGGAACAGGCCCTGGGAAAGGGCCTCAACGGGCACAGTGGCACGTCCCAGGCCCCATGTCATCATGGTTATCACTGCGGCCATCGGAACCATAAACAACTCAAGCGCAATCCTGCTGACCGCGGGAAGCTGGGGACAGGAAACCCAGCAGCCGCCTGGACCGCCCCCTGCAGTGACGATGCCAGCTGACCCCTGCCAGCCCTGCACTGCCCCCACCCCACGGCCCTGCTCACACAGACACCCACAAGCCTCCTTGCTCCTCAAGGCTGCCCCCACCAGCATCCCCCCGGCTCGTAAGTAAGAGGGTTGAACCCAGAGCTTAAAAAATCACAGAATCTGCCTCCCACTCTTTCTGCTTCCATCTCATATAAACATCGTCTTTTTCCTGGAAAGGACTCTTTTTCCCACGTGCCTAGGGTCACCCAGTTAGTTAGGTCACCAGCAGTCCCTAAGGAGACCATGGGTAGGCAGGGGCTGCGAGGTGGAGAAAACAAGGAGGTGCTTCATAAACATACGAGGTCTACCTGAAGAGTCCAGGTATGAACCTGGCTAAGCTGAGGGGCAAGCAGGAAGCTCCATGGGCCGCGGTGGCCAGAAGAGCTTGCTGGTGGAGGTAGACTTGGCTTTGGCCTGGGAGAACAGGCCCTTGCAGATGGTAGGCAGTGACCGGCTGGCCCCTGTAGTCGGAACCCTGGCAGCCCAGCCCCTCTGCCCTCCCCCAGGGTCCCAACGGGGTTGGCAGGCCAGCCTGGGTTCCTGTGGCCCCTCAGGTCAGGCCTGCCCATGAGGAAGACGTCCCCTTGGCTCTCAGGATCGATGGAGTAGGCTGTTCCAGCTCCGGCCAGTGTATATTCTTAGCTCGGCCCAGGCCCCACTGCTGGCCGTGTTTACGCTGGGCCCTGTTTATTTTGTAAGCCAAGCTCACGCTGCTTTCACTGATGTGAGGAGCACGGTGGGCTGGGAGAATTTCTTTCTTCTCTGTTTTTGCCGGAAATGTTCACAGCTCAGAGTCGGGTACGGTGGAGTCAGGGGTCTCCAAGCCTCGGCTGAGAGGGCGTCGGAGGGAAGGGGCCTCCCACCACCTACCACCCCTCCCTCTACTTCCTGTTTTAGGGGCAGGCCAGGGGCACCTTCTCCACGGGCACACTACAGCTCCCCCAGACCCTCTGCTGAGCCACGCTGGCCTGCCCCTCGGACGGCTGGCAGACAAGCTACGCAGGACTTGGCATCTGCCCCCAGACCTCTCCCCTACCCTGTCCCTCATCCCACTGGGACCTCGGGCACTGTCATCCAGACAAGAGCTGCCCCAGCTTGCCCTGGCCTCTCCAGCCCCACTCCCTACTGAGTTCATGTCTTTATCATCTTTTCCTTGGATTATTTTTCCAGCCATCTATTGTGGTCTCCCTGGCTCCAGCCTCTCCCCCCC